GGGTGAAGTAGCCACCTACTACCGCTTCTACTACAGAATGTGGCTGTCGTGTCTAATTTCTGTTGCATTTTAATGAGCGGCGGTCGAGAAATTTTTAGAACAAGTTTCATAATATCAGCATCACTGACTCATTGTTACGAGGCTGTTATTTACTCTTTAATCGGCAGTTTTGATTAGGCAGAAGTGAAAATGTCATATTTATTTTTTTCAGTATTTCAGATCTCACTCTCATCTGGTGATAATGATAAAGAGACTCATTGTGTTTCAAAGTTCTCCCAATTGTCTCTTATTCATAGAGCCTCGGGGTGTGTGTCCATCTTGTGTTCTTTTCTGACCATAAGGCGCTTCATCCCAGTGCTTTCTTTAAAAAAAAAGAAGCCCTCCCACACTTTGGGATCCAGTTTCTGTGACAACAATATCACCAATCTAACTGCTGTTGTATGATGGATGTGATTAGATGCCTGAAAAGGAGCGACGGTGACCACACCTGCTCCTTTCATTTTTTTTGGGGGGGGGCGGCTTTTTTTGCCTTTATTGGACAGTGAAGAGAATGAAGAGGGAAACGTGGGGAGAAGAGTGGGAGAAAGACATGCAGCAAATTTACAGTTTCATTTTTTAGCTTTTATCCAAAGCATCTGAGAGTAGATCAAACTCATACACCAATGGCGACAGAGCTGCCATGTGAGGTGCTGCCTGCCATTAGGAGCAACTTCAGATTCAGTGTCTTGCCCAAGGACACTTCGACTGTGGGGTGGGGGGCTGAACCACCAACCTTGCGATTAGAGGCCAACCTGCTCGACTACAGCCCCTGTACGTGGGTCGCTGTCTTATCCAGTTGAACTGCCGGGGCACCTCACACCTGCACCTTTCAGATGTTTTCTGAAGTCACAGAAAAAACAGAACTCTCCTATAAAAGGCGCTCTCTGCTCATTGGTGCTCAGAAAAAGTCAAAGTGATTTTATTGTCAGTTCTGCTACACGTATACACATACAGAGAACTGAAATTGCATTTCTCTCAAACCTTCATTAAAAAAAAAAAATGTAAAAAACAGTTGAAAAATATACATACTAAATAATATGTAAGCTAAACATATAATAAGCTAAAAAAGACTGATAATAAGCTACAAAATATACAATCTGAACATATAATACGATAAAAATACACAATCAAAACATATCAATCTAATCTGCATAAGGCAAAAAGATGCTCTATGGATACACAGATGACTGACTAATGCCCTTTTTCACATGCAGACTTTTGAAAACAGCCTCGGTAAGTTTAGTGGACCTACAATCAGGTATAGCCTCCACTGTACCTGCATGACTACTGTATGACCTGAAAGATGAACGGCATCCACACCAAAACTGGCATTTGGCACATCAGTTGATAAACAGCAACATCATCCAAAAAGTTTCAGACTTTTTCTTATGTCTTCAATGTGCACAAACCAAGTGAAAGATACACTGTAGAACGAAAACCCACACTGTCATACATCCTCTGCGTCACCCACAGATGGATCCATGCTTTTCCCAAAGCCTCACGCTCGCAGTTTCAGGTGCTGCTGTTTGTTTACTTGTATTCGGGTATCACCGCCTCCTCTTTCCACACGGCGAGCTGTGGTTGGTCGGTGACCAGCATCCAGTCCGTCCGGTGTGTCAGCCAAGTCATGGCAGGGAATCGATAGTCATCTAATCTGACTTGGCAACCGGAAGAAATGCTATTCAGTCTGAACCTGGCATAAGCGACCTTGACAACTGTGGGTGGGTTTTACAGAAGTGGAGGATTTAATGTGGGAAGATGACACTTGAAGTTTCATCATCGCAGTGGCAGAAATCAGTAAAGTATGATTTCATTAGTTTGAGATCATGTAGTTTCCTGAATGGTGTCGCACACATGGGAGACTTTTTCCACTTTGTTAACCATTACAGACTTTTATTTTGGTAAAAGTGTTTAAGCAGTTAATATCATTTAAAGTTTACACATTCATTCTTATCGCCCATTTGGTCCTTTTATCGTTCCTGAGTGAACAAGTGCAGTCACAAGTTCAGGCTACACCAGGAAATGCCAATATTTGACTTTGATTCGAATGAATTAATTGGCACACACAACACCTCAGCCTTCCCAGGATTTGTTTTTAAAATTATTTTTTAATGTACGCTTGTCCTTTCTCTGTTTTTACAATGTCACCGATTACAGCGGAGGTGTTAGGAAGAAGTCCAACAGATAGCCAGGGAATTCCACAATCTCTCTGTGTTGGTGCGCTGAATGTCCTGAAATGTGTGTGTGTGTGTGTTTCAAAGATAAGTAAATGTAATAATTCGCCTGCGGGAGGAAGGGGGTGTTGGTGTGCGGCTCCCCTGTTGGGATCTTGTGAGATCTTGTGTCCTGTTGGCACTGTGACCCTGGACTCACCCCATCCAGGCTTTGACCCTGCTCTCGCTGAGGAATGTGACCTCAGCGAAGGTTTGTCTTCTGTGAGAGTTTGGAGATTGTTAGTCGACCGCTGTTGCTGCTGCTGTGTACTATTACTTTTAAGACGCTGTTTCCTTCCCCCCCCGAGCTCGTTTCTGCACTAAAGGTCGCGGCGTGTTGGTTATGTACCTGTGGAGAGCCGGGCACGTCCTCTCACGGTTGCATCGCTCACTGTCAGTGGTGCAAAGTGCAGCGTAGTGATTGTTAGGATTGTTGTTTGACTTTGGGGACACATCAATCATTCAAATTATTGCTCTGGGGACAGCTTCTGTGAAGACGCATTTTAGCAAAAACAAATAGACCCTCATATCCGGAAAAGTAAAAGTGTTTTTGGAATAGAAGTTTCAAAAAAAAAAAAATCCAGAGTACCTGTTGAAAAAAAACACAAGTTGAAAATGTGGATCAAGCCTCTCCAAATGTCCTGCTTTGTCCAAAGATCTTCCGTCTACTGTCAGAGAGGAAAGAAACCACAAAATATTCACACTGAAGATGCTGAAATCACAGAGTTTAGACTGATAAAATGACTCAAACTGATTAATCGATTGTTGGAATATTTGACAGTTGATTAATTAGTGGACAACTAATCGATAAATTGATTCATCGTTGTCACTGTCTGTCTAAGTGGCTGTATGGGTCTCAGTGCTGACTGGTTAAAATCACTCAATATTGTTCATGGGTTTTTGTTGTTGTGTAGTTGTCAAATATTAACCTGTTAAGACCTGGTGTCCACATGCATGGAGATCACATTTTGGGTTATATTACCACAGTAGTTAATTTTTTTTATTTTTTATTTTTTTAAAATATTTTTATTTTATAATTGTTATTTTTTATACATATTGTAATTTTTAGAAAATATATATTTTATATATTTTAAAAATATATATATTTTTATTTTCTTTATATTTTTTGTTTTTTATTCCTCTTTGCTTTTTGATCTGATTAAATAGCAAAGAGAAATAAAAAATGCATATCAAACAAGAGCTCAGGTCTTAAGAGGTTAATGCATTCTGCAGTAATCATCCATCATATCCTCCACGGTCACCAGTGTAAACATTGTTACATCTATAGCTCCTTTACAGTATTCATACTTCTATGTTGAATTGAACTTAAGCTGTAGCCTGATGTACAGTCATATGTGGTGGCACAGACTTGCAATCCCTGCGTGGTCCGCTTAGTAGTTATAGGCCATGTTTACACAGACATATTGATTTGCACAGAGATGAGGCTTAAGTGAAACAAAGTACGACACTGTAATAGGCTGTAATATTATCCGTCTGGCTCATAATGTGAACACAAGAGCCGGCACTGTGTCACAACAGCCATATGCTTTTTTTTTTTCTCACCATCATCATCACAGCTCTTCCAATCAGTGGACACACTCATTCAATTCTAGCGGCTTCTCTCTTTTGTAGTAGTTTCAGAATGATCAACCAGATTTAATGGCACCAGCTCCAACCTGATCGGCTCAGTTACTATTGTTTGATGCGCACAAACTAGGCCGAGGCACTGGTTCAACGCAGGAGTGTAAACCAAGCTTAAGGACACCGAGGTTGTGTCATCGCTATTGTTTACCAGAAATAGTGAGTCACTGGGTGTCGGTGATGAACGTGGCAGACTTTAATTGGTAAATGCACAAAAATTCTAGATGCTTGATCAGGATGTGCTGCTGCAGTTTGGTGTCATGACCTGAGTATTGATAAAATCCTGGTTAGACGGTGAAAGTGAAGAGACATCCTGAGCTGCAAAGCCTTAGCGTATGTGAGTTTGATTGAGTAAAATGTCCCAGCAGTGACCAAAGTGTCCTTAATAGTCAGTTAGGGGGTCCAGAATTTGCCCTCTGGAAAACAAAACACAACGCTGACCTTGAATTCGTAGTTTTCCTTAGTAACGAGGAAAAAGCGCAGGAACACAGACTCTTGTTTCCAGCCTGCCTTTCCTGACAATCCCCTCACATCCACTGCAATTCCTGCCATTGCATTTTAATGCGATCGTCGGCTCTCCTGAGGAAGCCTGCCTTCAAACGGTATGATGTAATGCGCAGAAATGGCGGAAGTTCGACTCGGAATGGAAACGATTTCAGGAAATCTCGCTTCTGAATTGATATTCACACGGTGAAATCCGCTGTCTATTTCCAGCCGAGCGCGCAGCTGTACATCTGTAATAATCTGTTTAATTCTTGAATGACTGATCTGTGAATTTCATTGTGATCCTGCGCTTCAAAGGCAATCAAAAGCTGCAGAAGGAACAGTGTGATATTTGCAGCAGGTTCCTAATTTTCCTATTTTATCGATTTGCATAATTGAAAGAACGCACACGCTGATTGACGGCCTCCTGTTGTGGAACAAGAAATGTGGCGGGAGCTACGCTGCTTTGCACGTGCGCTGATTGTTCCTTGTGCCACATTTGGATGCAGCATCAGCTCACTCTGCATACCCACAGGATGGTTTTTTTTTAAACTCTGCTTCTGCACACAAAATGTTTTGCTCTGCATATGTGGCATCAAAAAGCTAACCCGGTGTCTCCAACAGGTATCTGTGTCAAATGTGGGAAGGGTGTATATGGAGCCAGCCAAGCCTGCCAGGCCATGGGGAACTTGTACCACACAAACTGCTTCACCTGCTGCTCCTGTGGTGAGTAAAACTATCAGTTATGTGAAATGTTAGTGACAGTCACCTGCTCTGTGGAAGGTGGACTTCACCTGAGTGTGCGTTGCAACCTTTGTTTTTTTTCCTGTTGCACCATCTCTGCAGTGATGTTCCAGGTAGCAGATATGTAACATCACCAGCGCTATGTGACTGGGTGCTCAGAGGTCTCTCTAGCTGCTGCTGGGTGTGTGCAGAGACCAGAAATACTGTGTTCAGTGTTGACAGCTTGTTATAAAACCTCAGCAACTACCTGCTTGTTGATACATTACCTTTATAGATGAGCTATTTTTAGCCTGGTATCTAAAGCACATACTTGTGTTGCTTCATTTCTTTATTCAGTTTGACATCATGCTGCCTGATTTCTGAGGGTTGACATTTTGCTCTGAGCCAAGAGTAGAGAGTGGACATTATTAGTCCACGCCAGGGGCCTACACCTATCTCACTCTGTGGGTAACAACATCAAGACAGTGGCATCCATAGCTCCTTAAATCATAAAGCTCCATTTATTGTTTTCACGTCCATGTACAAGGTGTGTCAGAAAAGCTCCAGGACTGGTGTCACAAAAGACATATTTCAAACCCAAACTACAAACTACAAGTTTTCCCCTTCAGACGATCAACCAGCACATCAACAAAGAGATCCTGCAGCTTTTGCTTGGTTCAGTGCGCAAGAAGGAGTCGTGGCTGCTTCACCATGACAACGCACCTGCTCACAACGCCCTGAGCATCCGACAGTTCCTGACTGAGAAGAACATCACCGTGCTGGAGCAACCTCCCTACTCACCCCACCTGGCTCCTTGTGATGTTGTCCTCTTCCCCAAGCTCAAGGGGTCATCAAGGGGACCCGTTTTGAAGACGTGGACGACATCAAGATGGTTGTGATGACAGAGCTGCAGACGATCCTGGAAGAATCCTTGCAGGAGTGCATGGCAGCGTGACAGAGACGGCTGGGAAAGTGTGTTAGACTCCAGGGGGATTACTTGAAAGGGGAAAACTTGTAGTTTGTAGTTTGGATTTGAAGTCTATCTTTTGTGACACCAGTCCTGAAACTTTTCTGACACGCCTTGTATCTAAGAGTCCATATGAACCCTCTGTGGTTTGTGGTCGGGCCAAAACTTGTGAGGAAACCAAATGGCGCTTGTTTAGGGTAGAGGTTGTGTGAGGAGTTTCGCTGTTTCCACACTTTCATAATTCGTCTTTAAAACAGTTAGACGGTGAACTTTTGCGGGGCTTTGATTTGCCCAAGCTTTCTCTCAATGGTGCCCGAACACAGTGGAAGGTTCCAATATCTGCAGGCAGCTAGTCCGACGTCGTCCCACTGTGTTGAGGATGAAAAACCAACACACTAAGGCTGCAGGTGGTTCCATAGTGCTAGGCTCACATCAGGAACCATCAGTGACATGGTGTTACAGCCCAGTATGTAAAGAGCTGCTACATCCTGTAAAAAAAAAAAAAAACACCACAACCAACCTTTCAGAAACACCTACAGGAACCAGCATGTGTTTCTCTGTGTTCAGTGCAACCAGCTACATAGCAGACCAACGTGTGGCCTATAGAAGGTGTACTGTAGTGTGAATGGGAACATGTCCGACCTTTAAAGTCTGTTTGTCAGTGCACAGGGATGCACAAACTATTAAAAGTCCTAGCCGGCACCTGCAGCCCTCCTGTTCAGACGGGCCATTTTGAGCATCAGTAAGTAACGATGCAACGTGCAATTTTCATGTCATTGTCCTACTTGTGTTTAGTAGATAAGAGGCTCTGAGTTTATGAGCGTTAAAAGTACGCTGAATTAGCTGTTAGTAAGAAGTGATCAACAGTTTTGGGGAAAATATCTGGATGTTTTGTTGACGTTGCATCGTTTCAAGTTGGATTTGAAATCGTCCCCACTATTCCTGTTTTAAATCAACACGTGGATGATGTGCACACAACAGAGAAAACCCTCGTGCTCCTCAGGCAAGTTCTGGAGTTACGAGGACTCTTCTCAGATTCCTGTGCAGATTTACTGATGTTTGTTTGTGACGGATGCCAGACATCATCACATCCTTGGACGGCGTAAGTCACACTGAATGTAAAAATACGCATATCATGTCCCCGTGTTCAGATTCGACAGGGATATGATTCAGAGCAGCAGGGTTTTTGACACAAATTGCAGCAGTCAGGCGCTAAGAGCTTTGAAGTAGCTTATTTGCTTCCATGAGCTCCGTGTCGCCGAAACTGTTTGAGCTCCAGCTTCTGACTGCGCTGATAAGCCGACCAAAACATCGGGCCAAAACACAGCAGCTGACTTGACGCTGCTAGATGAGTGGCGCGCATCTGTCCCATCTCATTCCCTTTTAGACTCTCGTCACCAAGACGTCTGGTCTGCATGGAAGCTGCATGTTTAGATGCTATGAGGAGGTGGCTTTCATTGCAAAGAGTGAGGAAACAAATGCCACTTTAAGAGGTGTTATTTCAGTAACCTGTACAGCTGTGCTTATCAGCCTCATGGTGGTTGCTCTTCTGTTGCTATGTTTTTTGGCTCGAACCCAGGAAAATGCAGCCTCCGTTCTTGGTGTCACCCTCAAAGCTCCGATTGGTCGATTGTTTCTCCACTCGGGGAAAAACGGGCGTCATCGAGCTGCATACGTTTGAGACGCTGGAAAAATCTATGCTTGTTTGTTAGTTTTGCCAGGCTTTGTGCTCTTCAGACGATTCAAGAACCCTGAGCACGATGCCTCGGATGTGTTTACGCTCACAGGCAGCATCAGTCGTGCTCTGAGCTTCAGCCGCTGCCTCTGCGTGCTGTGGTGTTATAGTCGGGATCAAGAAAACAAAAAGAAATCTGAAGGCTGCTCAGTAGAATAACAGGGCAGCTCTGTGCAGCAGAGGTAGTCATGCACAAAGAAATAAATGCTGACATTATTTGCTCTATAAGTCTGTAATTAAATCTCTCCTCCAGCTCAAAGTACAGTATAGATTGTGTGTCTGTGTGTGTTTTTGGACGTCGCCGTCACCCGACTCCGGCCCTCCTCTCCCGTTTCCCGGGGAAACAAGAGGAAGATGCCGGGAGAGAGCTTTTTAGCCAGGTTCCATTCATATGCGTACTATACATGGATACTGATCCTCCAGCTCGCCCCCTCCGGCTCTGGAAGAACTGCCTATAATTTACATGTAACCAAAGCCACATACTTTCCGATTTATTGTGTGTCAGAAGAAAGAGGGGCCAGATGCTGAGTGTCCAGTTGCTGAAGTTGCGGGGTTTCTTGCTGCGGAAAAGTAGCCTCTGGCCTGGTTAAGAGCCGTTTTAATAGCGGCGATAATATTTGTCGGGGTTCATTTAGAAGTCAGCTTTCATCGCCAAAACAAAGGAAGACGCTATTTGGCTTTTCAAACATTTGCGAGACAACCAGGTTATTTCCTCTGAGGACTAAAAATACTCTGAAAGGATGCCTGGATTACTTGTGGGGACGGTGCAGTTACATCATAAAACAGCTATGTGGGACGTAATTGCCTTTAGACAGAAAACATGGACAGCTCCTGAGAGAATTATTGTTGCAGAAAGCATGGCCACGACTCGTTAACAAGTCATGTTTGTGTGCTCTGCGTAGGCCGCTGCCGATAGCTTCTCGGGCCATCTCGCCTCTCGAGATGGTTTATTGGTAACGTAAACTCGGGGATGTATCGTTTGACCTCATGTGAATGGGAATGTTTTCTTTTAAGCAGTGTTTTGAAGGCCCTCTGAGAAGTTTAGTTTCAAAGTGCCTGCACTTGTCATAACACGATCCAGTGATTTATCAGGAGCTGCGTTCTTATGTCCCCTGTTTGTTTCTTTTTCCCCTCTTTCTTTCAGTTTTTTTTTTTTCATACCCCCGAGTAGGGTCCTCCTGGAGTCTGGAGCTCCAGAGTGAGGCCGAGTTTGCTGAGACATTGCTCGCTGGTAGCCTTGGGCTTTGTTTAACCATGCATAATTGAACCCTCCTCTTGGCTTACTCCCATGGTTGCACCCTTTTTTCATGAAATGGCCAAGAATGCAACCCCCTCACCCACCACCACCACCACCACTTCAGCCAGCCTTCCCTGGAGGACCTCAATCAGACAGTCACAAAGTGTACCAGACCTGCTTATCAGTGGGGGCAGGCCTGGCATGGACTCACATTAAATGGCACGCGGGGTGAATGCATATTTGTGCAGACGCATGCACGCACAGAGTGTTTTTAGTATTTTTTGGAAGAGATCAGTTCAGATTTAGTCTTTTATTGTTTTTGTGCGCTGGTCAGATTCCCTTCCCACCTACATAACACACTAGCTAAGGTCTGCATGGCCTCGCAGGGTGCCGTTGAGCAAAGCGTTTATGCTCGTCTGCAGCTGAAATCCTAGCTGCTGCTGAATACGTTTCCTCGCATAAACACACTCCAACCAGAGTGAATGTATATTTCTGAGACTCCGTGGCAGGGTGTTGTTGAAAAATAGGCATGCCTTCTCCAGATGAAATAAATAAAACATAATAATAAACACACAGTTTCACACTGGATGAGCAGACTGTCAGCCGCGAGCGTGATGACTCATTTCTGTGTTACAGTCGCTCAAACAGCCTCTGAGAGCGGCAGAAGAGAGCTCAGGGGCTTGAATTTCTCAAATCATTCATCACCACCAGTTGCACCTGCCAGGCAGTGGAAATTTAGAAAGCTCACACACAGGAGTGTCGGTTGTTTGTGTTTTGCTCGCAGTATGTTAGAGATACGTGGATTAAGATCATCTCTGACTACGTAGGCTGTCGTATAAACCACATTAGGATCGTAATCAGTAAATTGGTTTGATTTATTTGAGCGTACTGGCGTAAGAACTTTCCAAATCGTTCATCCTAAAGATTCAGATACTACAACATAAAGATATAGTGCTGAGTAAATATACTGCTCTTAAAGCCAGTGGCCGGCTACATACCTGCGGTTAACAAGTGTTCTCATTAGCAGGTGGTCAGCGAGCCGACGGCTAACAAGCCTATTGCAG